GAGGAGCTGGGGATGGAGGAGGGTAATTAGCTATTGAGCAATGCGAAAACTGCTGATAATACTGAGGGACCTTATATATGAATACTTAGATAGGTGTCGTATTCCTATAGGTTGATGGGGATCAGCTGAGAGTCAGCTGATGCGAGCTTGACTAACGTGACCTGCCAGAACTAACGCTACGCTTGATTTTTAAACTATAATACATTTTAATTGTAAATAACATGCAGGCGTGTCTGAAAATATTGCATTCAGTTTGCATATATATTCTTTTAAAGTATATTATTTCTGTAATAAGTACTCTTTTTAAAAGTATGTTAAAGTGAAAAAGTATGTTGGGTCTTTTTTGCACAATACCCAACACATCAACACTGCATGTTTGCACCTCACAGTTTTTTCCTCGCCTAGATTTTTTTAATTAATTTTTTTTAGTCACAGGTGTTAAATATAGGCTTTGCAGAAGTTGGTATTTGGCCACTGTTTTTTTTTTTTGGTAAGAGTGCTAATCACATGCTAGCTCTGTGTTGACACCTTCTCATGGTTGTCAAACAGACTTGTATGTTAAACACAAACCTTGTTGCACAATTTTGCTTTAAAGAGTTGTGCTGTGAAAAGTGTTGATCTTGGCTCGGTTTGAATAACAATTTCTTACTTGAAATCTCAGGGTGTCCGTTGTGAATTATAAAATGACAAATGACTGACTTCAGCTCTTGCAGATGCAAATTAAGCTAATGTGGTCAAGATGTTGTGTGTGATCACCAGTCTTATTTCGTTTCTTTCAAAGCCAAATCACTACAGGAGTTTGCTGGAGTCTTACGGAACCTGGAAGATGAGAGGACACGAATGGTGAGCTGGTTTCTTCAACATCACCATCATCAGCTTCATTATCGTTTTGTTTATCACTAATAGTTTAAAGGAAAAGCTCACTAAAAAATGAAACTCACTTCCATGTCTTTCCAAACCTGTATGACTCTATTTTTTCCTGATTTAGACAGTGTGATGATATACAGTTGTGGTCAAAAAATTACATTCACCTTGCAGAATCTGCAAAATGTTCATTATTTTAACAAAATAAGAAGGATCATACAAAATGTTATTTTTTAATGAATACTGTCCTGAATAAGACATTTTGCATAAAAGATGTTTAACAAGACAAAATAAATAAAAATAAGTGGACTAAATAAACTTAATAAAAATAAAAGAGACATCTGCTACTCTGCAAACTGTAACATGCTTTATAGCATATAGGTGTGATTTCACTTTGACACATATCCGATGTAGACTGTGTAATGGTAGGTGGTTTATGGTTGCCAAGCAAAGCTGCAACTTGCTAATGTGTGGTCACACCAACATAGGGATCTATATGTTCATGACTGTAAACGTGGCCAATCCAGTCATATTTATATTTCATTACTGTCTTGAGTCTTTTGTTTGTAACTCAAATATGTTAAAAAAATGCGAAGCAACTTTTTATGAATAATCTTATCTTTTGGTTTGGACTGCATCCATCCATCCATCCATCCAATAAAAAAAAATAAAAATAATAATAAAAATAAAAATAAATAAAAAAATAAAATAAAAAAAAGAAGAAATGGAGATGGAGATGAAATACTCTTCATTTTTAGAATATTTAAATTACTTGATTGTTGGATATGGATATTACTATCTGTAATTTATTAAAAAAAAATATCTTTGTGGCCATATACTATCTTTATATGATGAACAGAATAAATAAAATAATACATAATAAATAAATAAATATATGTTATGTCATGTTTACAGTATAAAGCATTAACATGAAGCGGTTTTAGGGCCGGGCGATATTGCAATATATATAATTATATATTTAATGCCAACTTTAAGGGATATAAATATTAGTCCATTTTGTTTTAAGTGAGAGTAAGCAGTTCTCAAAACGTATGTAGCAAAGAATGGGGAGAAAGCTGGCTAAATGTGATTTTTAGATGTAGATGATAAAAGGAACCCTATGACTTGTGTCTCCTCAGATTGAAAATGCCAGTGATGTGTTGATCTTGCCACTGGAACGTTTCAGGAAGGAGCAGATAGGAGCTGCAAAGGTGAGAGCACCTTCACCAAAGGTGAAATCGCTTTATGTTGTTATGGTATTCATAGCAGAGAGAGTCTTATTGTGTTTCTTAAGTCCAGGCAGAATGTAGATGTTTTCAGTTATCAATGCCATTGACCTTGTTCAAATGCAAATTTGTCACTTAAGATTGAAGTCACAGCGTCAAAACTGGCAGATTCCATGTGGGCCAAGCCATTACAGATCAAAGTGCTTCGAAGAAGCTACTGTAACTGTTTAAACAACACTACCATCTGTTGGTTATGATGTGTAAACACTCATTGTGATGTTCCTTATGAATGCAAACTAATACAAAAAATCTGTTAAATTTGACATGTAGCACAGATTTGTGCATGCCTCATTGTTTTTTTTTTAAACAATGATTCAAATTTATTGCCAACTTTACAGCTCCTTGGAATGTTACAACAACTCTAGCTGTGTCCCAAATGACCCACTATGCACTATACACTTATACACTATGTACTTATGTACTCAACCATGTAGTGTATGGATTATATAAGGTTATTTTGTCATTCATAAACTGAGTCTGATAGCCCCTCCCTCTTCCCTACGTAATTAAAGCTGCGACAGTTGAGTGCATGAAGTGTTCAACATTCCACACTTCGGCTGCATCCGAAAACTGAAAAATGCTGCCTTTGGAGGACGCATTCCAAGTTAGGAAGGCATCAAGGCACGTCCGAATTCAATATTAGCTTCAGTTCCTGCCTCCTGAGATGCCTTCATCTGGCCGATTTTTGAAGGCAGCATAGATGTATCCTTCGCTGCCTTTGATATCCCACAATCCTGTGCGTTCCATTCCGTGACGGTTGAGCTAAAAATAAAGATGGCGTCTGAAAGTTGCGGTTGGTGGTCAGTTTGTGTGTAAATGTACATTTCTGATCAACGTTTTCCACTTTTGATGTCATTTCTAGCGAGAAATTAATATTGCAGTAATGAAATATTCACTTAGTTATCACCAAAGCTCTCTATAGTTTTCTGTAGATCATTAAACCGTTACTCTGCCCCAGAAGCCTGTCCGAAATCAGTTTCATGAGGTGCCTTCGTGCAAAAACTCTGCCTGCAAAGTCATTGCCTCATACGGCAGCGAGGCAGCAAGTCAGCTGCCTAAGTTTTCGGATGCAGCCTTCGTTTTTTCGGTTATTTAAGTGCATCATCCGGGTATTTAAAGTGCACTTTTTCTTTGTGAAATTTTCAGTGTGAACGCACTACTCGCACTATTTATACTACAAAACATCATAGAATAGTGCATAAGTACGCAATTTGGGACGCACCTTTTGTTACAGAAAGAATGTTACAACAGAAAAGAAAAGAACGAGCCATTGTAAAGTACACATCGCTTAAAAGTACTTATTACAGAAATAGTGTACTTTAAAAGAATCTACACTAGTGCGAAACTGAATAATGTTTTCGGACACTTAATTGCATGTTATTTGCAATAAAAGAAAATGTGTTATAGTTTAAATTTAAATTAAATGCAATTAGTTGAACTTAAGACTAATTATGAAATTACTTATATTGTCTTTGAAAAATGGTTAAAATATTACTGCCAAATGTACTTACAAGCATGTATGGTAATGGTATGAGAGCTTCAGCATCCACCCCAAACACACTACTTGATATAGTTTAATTCAAGTGTATGTGTGTATTTTTAAACTGAAACGACCCACTGTAACTGCTTTAAAAAAAGTTAAATACTGCATATCCAATTTAAAATGAATATAGATGTATACATACATGCATGCAAATCTCACCATATAACATTTCGGCTGTTGTCTGTGTAACCCAGAGTTTGCATTTTAATCCCACAGGAAGCCAAAAAGAAATATGATAAAGAGACGGAGAAGTACTGTACAGTGTTGGAGAAACACCTCAGTCTGTCTGCGAAGAAGAAGGAAGCACACCTTCATGAAGTATGTTCTGCTATTAATGCTGTTTTACTTGAGACTAAAATGGTCTTTTTGCATGCTGTTGCACTTTAAGACTAGCAATCATCTGGTTTGATTTCCTATAAAACAGTAAATTGGGGGCAGATGTATTGAAAGGCTTGACTTCATTTGTAATAGCCAAAGCATTTGGTTTACACTCTGCTATTGTAGACATCATGGACTAAAGGCTACAAAGCCCAGTTTGATTTCATGGACATCTGTATATGTTTTCTGTTTTTCTTCACAAATCTTCCCAGGCGGATAACCAGGTGGACATCGTGAGGCATCACTTCTATGAAGTCTCGCTGGAATATGTCTTCAAAGTGCAGGAAGTTCAGGAGAGGAAAATGTTTGAGTTTGTGGAGCCGGTAAAACTTAATATCATGATCATATCATATCATATCATATCATATCATATCATATCATATTATATTATATTATAATCTCTTCATTAATGGCTGTTTTCCTCTCTTTTGGATGTAGTTGCTGGCTTTTCTACAAGGTCTGTTTACATATTATCATCATGGGTACGAACTGGCCAAAGACTTCAACCATTTCAAGACAGACCTCACAATCAGCATTCAAAATGTGAGTGCATTTCTTACAACAGACCCTCATAGATATTGATATTACAAATTAGGAGAGCAGAATTAGTTCATACTCATACTTCAATGCATTAAAGGTGCTGTATGTAATTTTTTGATTGTACTAAAGCATAAAACACCAAAATCCATTTGCAGATATTTTGGAAACATGCTAACAATGCTACAATTCTGCTTTCAAAGGTGTCATTCCTTGTCAGATTGTCGGTTTACCTAATAGGATTTTGACACTCTGGGTTGCCAGATGGTGGAAAACACAGCGTACTGCAGCCATAGAAGCGAGCAAACGAACTGGGTCAGAGATCACAGACTCTACCCGACCTAAAAAGCCTCGACATCCATCTAAAAAGCCCTATGACCAGAAGCATATAAAAAAAAACAGATAAATCATCAGCTTACAGCATAAGGCTCGTCACCTTCCATTGTCAGTTGCGCTTGTTCCTGTGTGTCAATCTGACAACCTGCGCAGTACCTATTTCCACCACTAGCTGTCAATATTACTGCACCTTAAAGTAAATTGCAAGTAAATCATCATCTCTTGTTCTGAGAAGTCCAATCTTTTAGTTCAGGGTGAGTGTATGTTCCCTGGACAGGATAGAATCATGACTCGAACCCGACCCCTGATGGGTGCAGTTTGCCAAAATGCATTGCAAATAACAACTGCCATAAAACTAGCCACTTCACAATAAGCCTGGTCAATGATCTGTTATATTTAAGCAGAGCGGTAGTTTCATGTAAGTATTTTGCAGTGCAGAGTTTTTACAGTGAGTGGCAAGTTTTTCACAACCATTCTCAAAACTTCATATCTTTTGGAACATTCACCTTCTCCTTCTCCTTCTCTGTCTTTGTGGTATTTCAGACGCGGAACCGGTTCGAGAGCACACGTTCAGAGGTGGAATGTTTGATGAAGAAGATGAAGGAAAACCCGCACGAACATAAGAGCATCAGTCCACACACAATAGAAGGATACCTGTTTGTGCAAGAGAAACGTGAGTCGAAAAGTTTGGAGCTTTTCAGATTTCTAAGACACAACTGATCACACTGACTTGCGGCCACTGTAGAGGGTAGTGTGATTTGTGTGTGTGTGTGTACCCACAATCCCAAATGGCGAGCCAACACAAAACAGCTTAGCAGTTCCACTACCATGAAGCATTGCAAGTGACGTCACTGAACGTCATTATTCTCCCTGCATTCTCAAACTACTTGTATATTTGTATAAATCTAAATATTTTGCAGTACACCTAAAATGTATTGTATTTCATACATATCACTAACTGTAATTCAGTTATTTTATTTCGTAGGCTACTATTTAAATATAAATTAAATGCTTCACTATTCACAGTGCTTCATGGGTTAAATATGTTATTTATTTATTTATTTTTTTGCAAAAATTATGCAACGTTACTTCTTGCATGTTTTGCAGCAGTTTCAAAAGCTATGTTCACACTGGAGGAAAATGTGGCCCAAATCCGATTTTTTGATTATATGTCACTATACATTTGCTTATACAGTATGTTTTTTGTCATGACAGTGTGAACAGCACAAACCACATGGAATCTGATCTTTTCGATTCAGGTTTGGGCCACTTTGGCTATGATCACACTGCGAGCCTTAGTGCTCAATTCCGATTTTTGCTCAAATCTGATTTTTTTTTTGTATAGCTGTTCACATTTTTGTTTTAAATGTGGCCAATATCAGATTTCCAGTGTCAAAAGATCATGGTTCTGAACTGACCCGCATGTGCAAAAGAACAACACGAACAGGGTTGCCAGGTTTTCACAACAAAATCTGCCCAAATGCTTCTCAAAACTAGTCCAAAACTATCCCAGTCGCGTTCCAGGGGGTATATATTGCGTTAGTGGGTGCGCTTTAACACACGGAGTTGAAAAACAACCGCGGCAACAGTGAAAAAGTAGCCCAATTCCGTGGGAAAACTGTGGACTTGGCAACACTTACACAGTGCGCTGTCATATGGTAGTAAACACGGAGGACATAAAGTAAGCGATTATGTGTTTATTTATGAAACTTAGTTTTGAAACTTTTATGATACGAGCCTTTATGTTTTGCTTGTATATAGAGTTGTCACTGCAATACTTATAAGTTCTGACACGTCACTGTACTTCCACTGACTACCTTTTGCAACTGTCTTGATAACTTTGGGTATGTAAAATCTTTGAAGTGACTCCCATGAGCGTAGAATTGTGACAAATGTTGATCTAGAGTGACGTAAAAGTCATATGAATTCCGATATGACTGTTCACACTGCGGTTGCATTGCAAAACATCTGACCTGTATCAGATGTAGTAGCACATACGGAAGTGGCACAAATCAAAATAGAAAATATCAGGTTTGTGCTGATCACTGTCACAATCTGTGATGGCGAGGAACGATGGAGACGAGAAATAAACGAAACAGTCTTTAATCCAAGAAACACAGGGTACATCCAACACTGGGAACGGCAGGAAATACATGAACATAACAAGTAGAACCGACAGAGACAGACTGCACAGAATAGGACTTAAATACAGGGGCTGATTGGGGAAACACAGGTGTATGGGATGACTAATCAAACTAATTACTAAAATGAGGACAGGAACATGACCAAATTAGGGAACAGAAACAGGGCAAAACATAACACAGATAGTCCATTACGCCCCCTCCCGGAAGGTGCGTCCTCGCACCGTAGCAACAACAGATGGAGGCATGGGTGGGCACTTGGGAGGAGGTTCCGGAGGAGGACGGACACCCGGGAGGGGGCCGGCAGACAGAGACCAGGGAGATGACGAAGGAGGGAGGAGCCAGGGAGGAGTCAGGAGGGGCCCGGAGCAGGAGGAGCCAAGCAGGACCCAGGCCACAGCCATAATGTCGACCCATGGTGGATCCGACGGAGGAGACCAAATAAGGCAAAACAGGAACTGAAACACATGACAAAACAGGTCCAATCCTGACATTTCGCCCCCTCCCGGAAGGTGCGTCCTCGCACCATAACAACAACAGAGGGAGGCACAGGTGGGAGCTTGGGAGGAGGCTCAGGAGGAGGACGGACACCCGGCAGGGGGCCGGCAGACAGAGTCCAGGGAGGAGACGATGGAGGGAGGAGACAGGAGGGGCTTGGAGCAGGAGGAGTCCAGCTGCACCCAGGCCACAGCCATAAAGACGGCCCACGGAGGATCCGACGGAGGGAGGAGCCATGGAGGAGGAATGGCCGCCGACTCCAGGGGGCTGACCAATGGCGGCGGAGCAGGTGGTGGAGGAGCCCGAGCGGAGACGGAGAGCCAACGAGCCAGGGGGATGCCGAGGATCCGGGGGGCCAGGGTGAAGCCGAGAACTCTGGTGACCAAGGCGGAGGCGGAGGCGGAGATCCGGGGATCCACGGCAGAGCCGGAGCGACTGAGGACCAAGGTGGAGCTGGCGGGAGGAAGGAGCCCAATAGAGCCGGTGGGACGGAGCAACGAGGTGCAGCCGGAGGAGCGGAGTCCTGAGGCGATGGCGGGTCGACGCCCGACCAAGGCGGAGCCGGAGGGACGAGGGAGCCCGGTGGAGCTGGTGGGTCGACGGGTGACGGTGGAGGTGAGGGAGCTAGGAGCCGAGGCAGAGTCCGGGCCTCGGAGGCTCAAGGCGGAGGTGAGGGATTCTCCAGCCACGGCAACGCTGAAGGATGGCAGACCCGCGGCGCTCGCACCGTATTGATGGTGGGCTGAGGGCGAGCAGAGGGGCTGCCAGACGACAGCGGTGGAGGAGGCAGGAGCGGGTGGGAGGGTGGCCATTTGTGCCTCTCCGGGCATTCAGGGCTTAAAACTGGATTCGGGGACTGGAGCCCTCTCCTCTTCGCTTTGGCACTTTCGGCACGCCATACTCAGCTCACCCTCAGGCGTGGTGCAGGGGGCGGAGCTCCTCTCCGCGCTCACACCGTTCGCGGCTTTCTCCCTCGTGGCGGGCATTGATCTCGCACCTGGTCTGACGGCTTGGGCTCTACTTCCGGGGCGATCCTGCGCTCAGTCGCTCGGCATTGCGCTGGCTCGTAGATCGCGGCGGGAATTGGCTCTCCGTCATCGGTGGGCTCGGGCTTTAGCTCCGCACAGCGGGGAGATGGTGGGCTGGGCTCTGGGTCCGGAGTGGATCTGGCGAGATCATCCTCAGGAGTGATGGTGAGAGGCGATCCGTTTCTCACCAGAATCCACTCCACAAACGTGGTGAAATCCACATGATCCTGACATTCACACTGTCATGAGAAAAACAGATCTGAGTCTGTGAGCAAAAAAATTCAGATTTGGGCCACATTTGCCTGCAGTGTGAATGTAGCCTTTTTGGTGCTAAATCCGAGTCAGGTCAGATGTTTTGCAATGCAACCTCAGTCTGAATTGTCAAATCGGAATTCGACTTTTACGCCACTATAGATCGAAATTTGTCATAATTCTGCTCTGACAGGATTCACTCTAAAGATTTTACATACCGGTAGTTCTTTGTTCACTCTGTGAGTATGACACACCGTTGTAGAGAGACAGTGAGGTGTTTTTTTACTGTGTATTAGAGAGACAGCTCAATACAAGCTAAACTTAAGGGGTCGTACTATAAATATTAAAAAACTTTGCTCTCTTTCTCCTCATTTTCATCCTTTTTATCACCTGCTCACAAATTTGCTGGCTTCCGTGGCATATCAGTTATAAATAAACGCAAAAAAGCTTAATTCAGTGGCCTCAGTGTTTATGTTTACTTCCGTATGACAGTGCGCTTCATGCTGTCTTGTTATCGTTTTGCACATGCGGGTCAGATATTGGCCACAATGGGGTAGGGTTAAGGGATGTAGAATATGATCATTCAGAATAAGGCATTAATATGTGCTTTATAAGTACTAATAAACAGCCAATATGCTAGTAATATGCATGCTAATAAGTAACTAGTTAATAGTGAGAATTGGTCCCTAAACTAGAGTGTTACCAAAAAAGACAATGTGAATAGCCACACCAAAAAAAAAAAAAAAAAAATTGTATATGAGCAATAAATCTGAATTGAGCACCAATGCTTGCAATGTGAATGTAGCTAAAATGAAATGTTCAGTAAGTGTAACTAGAGCGTGTTCAGTTTTCTCCAAACAGATAGATGTAACTGTGCCAACATTTAATCACATTGGTTCATGCATGTATCGTGGCAGTTGATAAATGAAATGTCCAGTCAGTGTCACTAAAAGGTTAATGCTCTGTTGCCTTTAAAATGAACATACTCCCTACACTAAATCATACCGTAAACCAAACCGATGGTGTTTAAGGAAAGAGAAAGTGAGATAAAAATGCATTTGCTTGAAAAACCTTGCCATTTACCTTATTTTTACACACTTTTGAGCTCTTTTATAGAACCATGTTTCATGAGACTCATACCTGAGTGCTATGCATTGCAAGTGCACTGGTGTACCAGGTGAGCTGCCAAGCAAGTTTACTAAAGCAGAAAATCCATGCACATACAGCTGAATATGTGATATCCATATTAAAATATATTGGTTTAGAAATCATGCACTATGGTAAAGGTATTTTAAGGTGATAGCAAAGTATTGTGCAAAGAAGTGGCATGAAAATAAGTCCTTGTTAATTGATTTTCTGGTAATCATAAATAAATAAAAAATGTTGGTGTTTTACTGCCTCCAGTGTTCAAAATTCAGCTGGAAACTGCACTGTGTTGAACATATAGTTACGTATTTGAAGTTTTGCACATGTACATGTCGAGGATTTGCGATGAACCTGTGTTGGTATTACATGGCTTTGAGCTTTTTACTGAAGATTTTTTGAAATCCCTATTAAGAAATGAATAAGAACCAAAGATTGTGAAAAAATGGACGGCAACTGTTATGCTCTTGCTCAGTATTAAATTTCACTTCACTCAGTTTTTGTTTTTTTCCTTTCCACAATTGCTTCAAAGTTTCACATAATCGAAGCCTTCAAAGCGTTTACCATATCTCTCCTTCTCTATCACACAAAACTTTAATTGCTTAAAACAGTGTTTCCCATCCCTGTTCCTGGAGGCACATGAACACTGAATTAAATTAAAGCTCTGTGATCCATTTGCTGTTTATCTGTCTTTTTCTTACATGGCCCCCTGTTTTATACCAAATCAGGTTCCTTCGTGTCCACATGGGTGAAGTACTACTGCATCTATCACCGAGAGCCCAAACGCATGACCATGATGCTATTTGATCAGAAGTCTGGGGCCAAAAATGTAAGTAGTTCTTTTTTCTCTTTCTCGGTCACATACAATCCCTCTCGTGCCCTTTCACTCAACAGTATGTGTAACCTTTGGATTGGAGAGTGGATGCTGGCACAGGCCACAAGTTTGTTCCCCATGCTGACAAGACTCTGATCTTGGCACGAGAAGCTGCGTATCGCATCGTTAAGCTGGCACCAGTATCAGCACCTGGCTCTGTGCCCGTCTCACTCTCCACTGCCACACACGCAGGGTCAATAGCACGACTCTCGCACTAGGGACTGCATGCGGCCTGATTACATTCCGACCACACACTACCACCCCTCTGCTAAACACACAAACCTGCCAATCGCAAGAGAAAAGCAAACAGAAAACGTGTTTTATTGTGATTATAAATTGAATGCAGAGTTATATTGTTTTGTGGTTTGCATGGTTTATGTTATTGCTGACATATTTACAAGGAAATGCACAATCTGTTGAAACAAAAACCCTTTAATTTAATGTAGGTAAATTTATGACTTAAAACATTTCTTTTGATTCTTGAGTTGGAATTTGAACCGTTACACAGCAAAATGCAAAACTGGGACGCTTCATTCAGTGACGCGCTTCACTCGGCATTCGCTAAAACCAGTAGTGCATACTTACTTGCTGGCAACCCGCCAAAATAAAAGCTTGCTGATTTTAGGTTTGAAAATGTTGAAAATTCATATAATAAATAAAAAAGGAAAAATAAGAAAAAAAATTGAAATGTAAATATTAGCATTGTATTTTTTAAGTGTACTATAAAATAATTGTATTTTTTATTTAATACTCACTTTTAATTTTAAAATATAATAGTATTATCACACTTTATTTTATTTTTTTAAATTAACTAAATAAAGTGCGATAATACTATTATTACTATTATTAATTATTTTAGTTTTTTTTATAGTTATATTTAATGGGTCACACTATTGCAGTGTGAGCACCAAACCAAATCTCCAGGTGTTTTCATGAGAACCAGACTGAAAAACTTATGTGCACCCCTATGTATACACACACACACACACACACACACACACACACATATTGTCCCAGCTTAATAAAGATTAACAATAAACATTCTATACATCATAAAAGTTTTCAGACTTTTCATTTATTATTCTGTTTTTTTTTTCAACCCAATGTTTATGTATTGCATCTTTGACATGCCAGTTACAACAGTCATTTCAGCTCATCCTTCAGATGGTTAAAATGAACATGTTTACAGTAAATAGACTTATACTGGAGGCTTAGCAGGCGAATGTCCAGAGGGATTACAAGCAGGAATTACAAACTCATATTTTTAAGCACACGGTGGAAACCAATTGTCAGATAACAAATTGACTGCCTGTCCACTAATCTTCAACATATTTTCATGAGCGAGCTATATAAACTGATCAGCCACAACATTAAAACCACTGACAGGTGAAGTGAATAACATTGGGTCACACTTTAGCTTGGGGGCCAATTCTCAATAATTAGTAAGGTAGTTGTTACCTACCAACAGTAGTGCAAAAAAGGACAACCGATGAACCAGCATCAGGGTCTGTGCACCCAAGGCTCATTGATGCACATGGGGAGCGAAGACTAGCCCATATGGTCCGATCAAACAGAAGAGCAAATTGCTGAAAAACTTCATAGAAAGATGTCCGAACACACAGTGCATCACAGTTTCTTGTGTATGGGGTTGCATAGCCGCAGAGTGCCCTTGATGACCCTCTGTCCACTGCTGAAAGCACCTACAATGGGCACGTGAGCATTAGAACTGGACCATGGAGCCTGGTCTGATGAATCACATTTTCTTTTAGATGAGGTGGATGGCCGGGTGTGTGTGCATTGTTTAACTTGGGAAGAGATGGCAGCAGGATGCACATGTGAAGTGCCTGGTTTAAATGTGAATACCTGAATGCTTTTAGAACTGAAAACATGACTTTGTTCCAAATGATACACTTACTGTGTACATGCAGTCTTGCAGATTTAGTGTAGACTAGACCACAGAGTCCCTTTGGTCAGTTTTAGTTTCATGTGCGTACTCACAGGCAGCCTTGTTTCACATTTCCAGACATTGCATTCTGTAAGCGTACACAGTTTGTTTGGTACCTAGTCCTTGTGCTAGCATAATGCTGTCACCTTTTCTGGAATGTGAAGAGAGTAAAAAAAAAACTAGAGAGAAGTCACTCCGCAGAGTGGCGTGATAGAAACAATTAGACTGTAAGTGAAGAGGACACTGCAGGAGAGAACGACAGCGCTCTGGTAATGAACTCCAGAGGCATGCGTGTAATGTGTTGCTAGTCGGCAAAGGAGTTGTGAAGTGTTGGAATAAAAATAGCTGACCGCATTTGAACACCCATTCCTTGGCCACACTTTGCAAGAAGATAGGGAGGTAACTTGACACTTTATTATTCATTTATATAATCATTTATGTGATGACAGTGTAGTTGGTAAATATAGAACATCTGGTCACATTTTCCTGTCGGCCGTCCAGGCTCACATAAAAATAAGTGAAATAAGTGAAACACTGAAAATGTGGTGGCAAAATGTGGGCCTTTAGTAAACCATGTTTTTCTTTTCAGGGAGATGAGGAAAGCTTTACGCTCAAATCTTGCACCAGAAGGAAAACGGACTCCATCGAGAAAAGGTTCTGTTTTGACATTGAAGCCGTGGACCGGTGAGTTGACTGTGTGCATACCTGCCACCAGATGGCGCTTTGGTCCTCGTAACATTCAGCGGGAGACACACTTCCTGGCTGCTGCTCAGGAAAGGAGGTGGAGATTTGAACTAGGTCTGCCAGGCATGAAGAGAGTGCACTGTAGATACTAGCTTCGACCTGTTAAAACTGTTGCAGTAACTAGGAGGGGAGAGATAAAGTGGCCATCTTATGGGTTTTAGGCAGAGGAAGGGAGCCGATTACTTTACACTTAACCTATAGGCCAAAAGATGCTCTAAGCCAGTGGTTCTCAACCCGCGGCCCGTCACGAATTCAAATGCGGCCCACCGTGCTGAACACAATTAAAAAAAATACTTTCAGTTTTACAATTCATTTTAGTTTTTACATTAATTTAAAAATGTACTAAATAAATATAAGCTATAGCCTAATGTTTTTATGTAAAATAATTTTGTTTTTCATATATTATTTTCAAACATGAGCAGTACTCACATAGCCTAATTAACGTTACGCATTTAAAGTAACGACCAAATGGCCAGCGGCAGACAGTGAGCATATGCTTGATCAATTTAGCCTTCTCAAATCATCACGACCTGACTAAAATAAAATCTATAGATGTAAAACAGTTCAAGCATATAACAATGTTTAGACGTTAAACCTAGATAAATGTGCGCTGTATCCAATAGTTTGCGCAGAGAGTGGAAGCTGAAGCGCGCTTTGCAGGACATAGAGACACCAGCGCGATCACTTGCATTTTTTTTCAGTGGATACTCCGTCATTTTTGCTCATAAAGGTAAGAGTAATGCATCATTCGTAACTGTAAAGGGTCTACTTTTATTTGTGTGCACTCACAATATCAACAAAACGTTGTGCTTTTATAAAATAAAGAAAACAAACATGATGC